TATATATATATAATGTAAGACTTGGCGAATGTAAGACTTGTTAATATCTTTTTTCACAACAAAACCCTTCTTTTTAGGATCAGCCAAAAGGTACGTATCAACAGAAACCTATGAAAAGTGCAATAATATAAAAGCAATCGTAGCAAAAATAAAAAACATACAGATGTGAATCTTTCTTTTCAAAGGAGATGGTAAAAAAAAGGGTAGTGCTAATTTCCAAAACAGAAAAAACGAAGTGATACTGATAACCATGTTCACAAAAAGATAATGACATAACATCTGCAAATAGCACGATAAAAACGTTTGTTTTGCGAGATAAGTATGTAATAATGTGAAAGGGATGTGACGTCATGAAAACATTCAAAAGAATACGAAATGTAGTTGGGAAAATGTTAACTACGACATGAAAACAAATACTAGGAAATGAAAAAGACAAACTGCTGAACAGGAAGAAAAGCTAGACAAACTGATTATGACTTCTTACAGCATTCAAAAAAAAGCAAGCTGTACCAGTTACCAATTTTTAACAAGCTACAATGCTTTTATAAGCTGCAATTGCACTTTTTTTTCGATTCGCCCAAAGAAAATAAACAAATGACACGCTCCAAACATTTTTATGGACCATCTTCCCAAATTGCTGCTTTGGCTTGTTTCAAATCTGAAACGTTACTACAATTAATAAAACCACACATCTCAAACAATCCTTTACAATTACTGAAAGACCTTTTTGTAAGAAATAATTTGAATGGATTTTAAATCGTTTTTACCCAGGAAATCCATCTCCTTATTTACTATTTCAACACTGTTGTAGCAAATTTTTCTTTTGAAAAAGGATAAACACGAATGTAACACTTACTAACCTTTCGCATCTTTCAGCTGTTTTCTTTCATTGCTGATCTGCTGCGCCGAAACATTTGAGCGTTTGCCAAGAGCGCCCTCGACGAGACGGCGAGCAACAAGAGGTGTCGTTTGAGGACGCTGTTTATGAGGGCGAAGGAGTGCTTCATATTTGCGAGCCTTCTCCTGCGTAGCCCTGGTTGCATCACACAACGAACGAAGTCGCACCTTAGCAATACTCTGTCGCTGTCGAACAGCAATCATCGCTTGCAGTGCTATAATCAAACTTATCTTTTCCTTAGATTAATGATTTCAATTTATTCTCCAGTCCTCTTATTACAACATTGTCTTTGAAATTTACCGGCATTTTTAGAGGCAAATACGACCAAACAGTGCGTGTCATCAACAGGATGAATAGCTACGTCAGCGCAATCATGTTTGGCCAATTCTTGCTTTACATCGTCTTCGGTAAATCTAACAGGAAGGTTGAAGGCTTCTAAAACGTGTGGCAGTAAATTATCATCCCAGGGATCAACAGGAGGTCCAGTGAAGTAATTGATCTTCGGCTTCCGAATCTTTACCTTACACATCGCTATTTCGATCTGTAAAATGGATATGAAATGGAACCTAGAAAAACCACACAACACTGAACTGTGACTTCATATCTTCCACGAACTACAAAAGTAGAAGACCAGTGTTATATACCACTACACAGAAGAAATACGCCTGAACAATTCTACCCATTCCCAACATTTAATTGATTCAAAGGAAGTGTAACTGGAAAGAACTCATGTGTGCCCACAAAACAGTCTGTGGAACCGATAATATGAACCTCATTAACAAGTTTAAAGCTGTAGTCATCGTTATCAAGTTCCTCCCATGAATCGACTGCACCGCTGCTGGATACCACGGCTTCATCTTTTCTTTTTTCTTCACCTACCGATTTTTGCTTTTTTTTACCATCCATTAATTCTGTCAAAGAAATTAGCTCACTACTGCCTGATTTCAGCACATCATTTTCATTATTGCATTTTACCAGATCCTGAAAACAGTTCGGAATAGAAATCATATAAAATTGTGAAATATTTTGAGTTCACAGAAGTTTCATTTCCGGTTTCATTACAAATTGAATTTGTATGTATCGCATTACTTCGTCTGATTAACCAGAGAAATAATCTTTTCTTTATTATTAGTAAACTGCAAACGGCAACAACTTCAAAAAAGAGATATTCTAGGTATGAATTCATGCGTTGCCTGCAAACAATTCGAAGTAGGAATATACAGAAATTGCAGAATATATCAAAATACAAACCTGATTATCAAAATCTGTAGTACATGAAGTTTCCGCCAGCGCACTTCTATCGAAAAGACTTTCGACTACATCTACAGCTAGAGCTTCAGTAGCATCCATACTGTCATCTGCTACAGATGTTGAAGAAGTATCCTGCAAACATAGCTAAAATCGCTACGAAGAAAATGCATTTTTAAAAATTTACGTAGACAATTCAAGTCTGAAGGTCATGAAGCTGCACACAAATGCCATCCAAACTACCACCCATGTTTTCTGAAGAGTAAACTAATAAAAAGCACAACTAAAGTGAATCGCAAAAGCTACAGTAAAAAAAAAGACTAGTCTAAGTTTTATCCGTCTCTGCAATAAGTTGATTCAAGGAAAAACCTATCGTTTTCAAAATGATAGTGGAAAATAACAGGTGAAAAAATCTCTAAAATGCCTCAACAGAATGCAATGCATTTAGAAAAATCGATTTTTTTTTTCACGCTTTCTTTTAAAATCCTGGAAAATGGCACAATGAAATAAACATGTTTGCCTGAGGTCCTTTCACATGCTGAGATCCCATCGAAGCTGACATGGTTTTCATTGCAACAAGTGAACTTCCAAATGCCTCTTGCGAAGCTTAAAAGATATTCATAAATAATCATGACACTAAAAACGTTACATGCTAAAAAATGTTAGCACTCAGCTGACGATGATATTCAAGATTCTGAAAATGGGTGACTGAATGGTATCATCACTACCATCTCCTCAATGATTGTTTATCCTTTCATTAATTACCACCTCAGAAAGAAGTATCATTAAGAATCACTTTTTCTATGATGAAAGAACCACCATTATAATCAAATTCTTCGATACTTTCGAAGTCGTCTAAAAATTAAACCTAACACGGCAGATAAAATGAGAGAACCTGCGACAAATGAAGGATGCATACTCATTGAGGTAACCTACATTTTCTCATCTAGAAGATTACGTCAGTAGGTTAATAGTAACCAATTTTCCATCAAATGGAAATTCGGGCGTCCAAAACTGCCAAAAAAAATCCGACTTACACTTTACGCATAATGCTTTTCAACTAGCTCAGAAAAAACAGTGGGAATTGCAAACCTGAACCGAATCCAGTGTTAGCTTTGGGTGATATCGAATTGCTTGCAACTTCCTGAATATCGGATGACTTAATCGCTGCCAGTGTTCCAAGCTCTGTTTTTGCAAATTTTTCTGCAAATGAGATATGTTACTAAAATGTCAACAAAATTGAATGCCTAACAGCAAGCAATATTACAAACGAAAATGCTCAGCAGTAAAATCGAAATCCCACAGTATGAAATTTCAACCTTTGCAGACACTCCATGGTGAACCACCTGTCAGTGATTCTTTGGAAATGATTGAATTTGTAGATACACCGGTAAGCAGTAAATCCGTAGGAAAGAGTGGTCCCTCACTGCAATTATTTTTGTGAGTATCTGAGGCAATTAGCAGTGAGTGTTTTGCAGTATTAATTGCTTCCTTGTCAAAATTTTTGACTGCAACGCGATCCTCAGTAGTATTTGGCTGTGAATAGAACAGATCTTTTAAACCGGGACTGGCATACAGCTTAGTTTGCTTTTGTTGTTCCTCGAACGATTGATTGATCATCGCAACCTGGAAATTCGGAATTAATAAGAATTACATTCTGAATATTGCATATCTCACGAAAAAAAAGTACTTCACTGCACAGCATATGAAAAAGATACGTACTTCAAGGTCATCTGCATCCGGTGGGTTACTTCCAGCATCACAAAGATACATGTTAGAAGATTTTGTCAAACTTGAACCAGCAGAAACACGCCCAGAATCTGCATTAGGACTTTGACAAGTCATTAATGGACTTGACAAATTGCGTTCTAATTTAAGATGTAGTTCCTGCAAAACAATAAGGTCAAACTAAATGTTCAGACCAAACAAAAACAGCTCATCTAACTTTGAAAACACATTAGTTTTCAGATTTAAAAGTATAAGTACTTTTGATTCGAAATCATCGTAGGAGGTCGGCAGGTTGTCCAAAACATGAGCAAATTCGGCATCTTCAACATCACCACTATAGATGTCCCACTTTTCCACAAATTGCTCTTGTAAGCCTGAAATACCAGCTTCCACTGGTTCCAACCTGAACATCTGATTGCAGTGCGACAAAAGGTAAGGTAGGAACGAGGTTAGTCATGCATGATGTCATGGAAATCAAGTGAGGTCATTTCTGATTTCTTTTGTTCAACTTAGAATAAGGAAAAGTTCCAGTTTATTGAAAGCCACATCTACGAGTAAATGGATGGATCAATTTGATAGTTTTCATAGTAGCGATATAACCAAAATATCGTCCAAATATACAACATCCTTTCGACTATAAAGCCCATAGGAACCTGATAACAGTGAAGGAGATCAGAAAAAAAAGAAGGGATCGATAGGTTAAATCAGAATCTGTTTACTGCTATTTCCTAACAAGCACGGAACATTTCGGCTAACTCAAAGGTACACCTAAACAAACTAACCATATGTATTACTAATAGTTGTTTCAATGAAGCGTTTTGCGGCTCGCCTAACGTCTTCAAGATCTGGTGCGCAAATATCTTCGTTTGGAAGCTGCAGATTTCCGATATTTTGGCTGGTACAAGGTGGAAAATTTTGCCCAAAGCTTGTAGCAGGCAGTTGCTTCACGGCGTTGCTAGAAGGAAGCTGCTGCCCGGTTGACGCGAAGTCTTCCTCATCAATCCTTCGAAATAATCGCAAGGTTAAACATGAAGGAAACTCTGAATTACACATGGCTAGAATAAAAGCTTGAACAGGAATAGATAATCTGGTAAAAAAGGACCTAAAAGGAAGAAAACTTCGAAAGATGAGAGAGATGAAATCAACCTGCTCCGTTCATCGGTGAAAAATCCATCTCCTTGAGCGAATGAACCATAATTAGTCATGCTCGCTCCTCTTCGCGAAACCCCGCATATAGCCGTACAAGACGGTTTGCGACCTGTTAATTCGTTACACCACATTATTATTACTGTCATGCACAACGTGCTGTAGATGAAATTCATCAGTACAGAGTCAATAATGTTCTCACTATTACTTAGTACTAATACAAATACTATTTATATGCATAGCAATATGCACTTAGATTCGAACAGCTAAGCGCGCACAACAGAATACGACCGCTACCGTTAACCCCACAAAAATGAAACGTAATGCATGCCCGAAGTTACTTAAAACTGCCAAGTCATCTAACTGCTGCTCCCAAAATGACTATGAAAATTTGAATAACTCCACCAAAAGACTGCAACGGAGATTCACGCACTCGTACAAACACTGATCATACTTCCCTTTTCCACAAGCGCGAGACCTCTACAGGGATATCGGAGAATGCCACGGTATCAGACGATGACATGATTCATACCAGATAGTTAGAGTAAAAGTGAACGAGGAAAGAAAGTGACGGTAGACAGAAAAGGAACGGAGGAATTGTATTGGAAATTGCAGACTTAATTTTCATAGCGTCTCAGGTACGACAGTGTTGCATACAATCACTTCAGGACTGCTTACGTTGGCGCGTGTAATTTGAAAAGTTTACTGGGAAGAGAAAGTCCAGGGAAGAGAAGTTAACTGGGTCTAAATACTATTTCGGTATTTGTTTTGTTTCACTTGTGACAAGTGATATTCAATAGCATGTTACGCAAGTGCAAAGAATGATGTGACATCTAAAACAAAAACTTTTCTTCTAAATTTCATCTTGGGACTAAATTTGCATTTCCAATTAGGCGGGGATTCAAAATCGGACTCAATCTTAGACTTCTTATACATACAATCAAGCTTAAGGTTGAACTTGGGGTTAGGTCGTTTCAAACGGAATTGTATAAATTTGAATAAAAAGCTTCCAGGCTTAATCTCTACCTTTCAATATGAGCTTCATCATCACTTTAATTTTAAGTTTGAAAGAAGAATTTCCAAAAATTTCTTTCCATACCTTTTGATGGCTTCAGACTTCTTTCTGTTTTTGCTTCAGATCGCGTGGTAATTCCAAGGCTACCTAGAACTTTGTTCCAGTATCTCTTAGTGAAAACCGAAAATTGTTTCCATAAAAAGTTATAAATCACTCGTTTTTACATCTGTTTCTGAGAAATTTTCTCTTTCGTTAAATTGTAGATTAATTTCTAAATTGATTTAAGAGACGCTTTGAAATTTTCAATGTCCCTTAGAATTATTCAGATAATTGCTCGTTTAAGAATGTTTAAAGTAAAAAAAAAAGACTCCAAATATTTGAAACTATATGTCACGAGTTTGAGCTCACTGCGTTCATTGTCTTCATTCACTGTAAATATGCCGATAACTTGGCGGCTGTACAAGAGTAGAACTTATGTGAATTACAGCCAATTCGTTGTGCTGATATTTCCAGCTATGAGGGAAAGAGTTCAGTCCTTTAGCCCTTACAAGTCTATTTGCATTTTTATATTTTTTCCGCATTTTATGTTGTTTTTTTTTTTTAATCCGTTTTTTCTTCTTTTTTTTTTTATTTTTATGGGAGAAATTGAAAGAGAAGCGCGAAATAAAAACTAAGATTGAGTTGAAGGGGACAAATGTATAATTTCGTCCTATGCTTTAAAAAGGCAACTTCTGTAAAATTTTCTTCTGTCACATATTAAATTGCTCCATAATGATCACGAATTATACATAGTATTATGATATTACTGGGCTTACAAAATCATAATATAACGATGACCTAATAAGGATACAGTGATAATATGATGATGACAAAGTAGTGAAATGATGGTAAAAGACTATGCGGTGAAATGTTTCGAAAATTACTACATCGGTATGATGGATAATAAGCTTATAAATTTTTCAATCTTTAGATTTTTAGATAGGCTTCTCACTTATATACATTCTGCTTAGTTTCTGGATTTATTCCTCGATCCGAAACTTTTCTAGGGTAATTGGTTTATTGCCACTAATCAGTTTTTATTCAAATAAAGTGAAAACTTCCAATATTTTGAAAAAATTTTTTTGATATACATATTATGAAGTTAGATTGCATTAAACAATTTCGTCATTTTCTTTTTTCCCGAGAAGTTTCCTCCTATTGCGCACAAATATTGTTTGAATTTTGCTGATTTTTCGGGTTATTTCTACGAAAGAAAAAAAGCTCCATAAGAGAAAGCATTTTGGAAGATTTCCAGACTTCCTTTCACATATGCAAGCATCAAAGAATACCTTTTCTGTTATAAAAGCGATATTCATAAGGCAATATTTCGATGTACATCAAAATGTGATGTTTTTTGATTACCAGTTTTGTTTTAATGACTTTGATCTGAAGTCAGGTCATTGACGAAGGCTGACTGTCATCGTATAATTGCAAGATCCAAAAAAAAAATTATTAAGTTTCTGCTATAATTTTTCCCACTTACGTCGCTATAAAGGCAAGGAGTGATGATGCAACAGAACGTCTTTGCATAAACTTTTCTACTAATCAAGTTCTTCCATTCATGCATCCTCAATTTTCGCTGTGCCTGAATTTTACAGAAGCCAGTTTCTGATAAGCTCATCTTAGATTTTTTTCGGAGTGGTGGATATTTCTATCTTGCAAATAGACGTTTATGGTAGCGAAAGTAAAACTGGAACATGTACAGGGAATAAAGAAATAAGATAGAGTAATGAGTATAATGAGCCTATTTCTTCTCTACATTTTCTTTTTTGCATAAAATTAGGTTGTAATGATGCATGCTGCAAATATTGCATCTTCTGGTGATAGTTTTTGGTAAATGAAGGAAGAAGGGTGAATAATATATGCAGAAGACAATATTAAATTATAAATGAAAGGATATGGGAAGGTGCCATCAAGCTCATTCGTATTTCACTGCTTTTCGTAGTATTCCTTGGAAAGATAGATATCTCATTTGTTCCTTTCTTGTACTTTATTTCTTCATGTACTATTGCTGTTGTCGAAAATTAACACAAGATGGTACCTTTTGCAAAGGTTGAATGGAACTTATATTGCTGTAGCAATATAAGGAAGAACAAGTTGTAGGCATTATTTTAAGTGGCAGAAAAGCGTCGAATGCATAATGGAATCATTTGAGAGAAAGAGAGCTAGATATGGTTAGTTGAGGGTAACTTTTGTTTTGCAACCTTATTTAAGCTTTCCAGCTTCACTCACACTTCCAGTTATGCATCAGATTTGTTTACCCACAAATATGTAATTTTATCCGCATGTCTGCTAGTGGCTCGGGATTTGATTTTGGCAGTGTGTCATCCCATTTCTCAAATCCATTCGATTTAGGAATAAATTTCATGATGACTAAATGTGGACGTATTTTGCTGTACAAGTGCACACCTTTTTTCCCTGTCCTTTGGAAAGCATTTGTTCTCTTCCAGGTGATTTTTCGGATGCAATGTGTTGGTAGGCGAACATTACTTATAGTGGCTGCAGCACTGGTTTGGAATTCAGTAAGCTCCAGACGGATTTTTGTAATAGATTCGGAATGTACAAGCTGCTCCTACTATACGACTCACATTTGCATATCGCCCTTTCTATACAGCGAGCATCTTGTTAACAGCATTGAAAGGCAGATATCTTCCAGGTTTTTTTGCTTAACGATAGTTTTAACATCATTTGCATATCGCCTTTTAATTGAACTCTTCGTCTTTTAATTGAACTTCGCTTCCACTATATAATATTCCTTATCATTTTTTCAACAAGTTTCGTGATAATAATGGGAAAAATGTATAAAATATATGATAATACATACAAATAAAGATAGGGAAGAAGGGTCCATTCATATATATTTTCTGCATTGTGTCACGTGTCACGTATTCACGCCAGTGTATCAATACTCAAATCGATTCCAGATTTGTACCTATGTAGATATATTGAGAGTGATTTTATAGACTTGATTTCAGATTTGAACCGTGCTTAAATGGAAGCCAACGAGAGGCTGATAGGAGGCCTTCACGACCGACAGAAATTATGGGAAGAAGGTGATTTGAATAAATAAAATATTATGTAAATACTGGTTACGAGTGTTCATTGATTCTTAGGTACCATTCCCTTCAATGTTGGAAAAAGAAAATGGAAATTATTTGTATTTATTTCTCGGAATGTGACACTGCTAGAAAAGGCGCATTACTGGGTAAAATAATGGACCTTCTATCTGTAGAGGAACGGTGATTTTGGCGATGGTGGAATGCAGTTCAAGGCAAAACTGGAGTGAACTTGCAGAGATGGCGAGTGTAAAATGGGCAGACAAGTTATCGTGTCATTTTGACGCGCTGATTGTTCTATTTCATCAGTGGAAGCTTATTCCAGTTTTATCCGTTCGTCGCAATACAAGTGCACTATGGGGTCAACTGCAATTGCGATCTTACCAGGTCGTAATTCCCACAGCTTTCGTCGCAGATTACTTTGTGATTTTCCTGCAGACAATGAGGTTGTATCTTTCTGCCATACCAAAACTTCTTAGGAACACTTTTGATTGAAATGTTCGGCTGAACAGATATTGTGCATCTGAAAGGAATCGGAAATAAGAGGCATCTTCCTCACACAAATAACCTCTTGATTAGTATTGTTTCTTCAGCACGTGTTCAATGAATAATAAGAGGTGTTCGTTTAGCTATTAACAGATTCTGGTGAGAGAACTGATAGAGGCAATTTAGAAATATGTTCCTGTGTAGCCAAATATTACGCAAGATTCGGGACACGATATACCGTTTACCAGCTCATTATGTATATATATATATATATATATATATATTGTTT